TGCTCGGGGATAAAAGGCGTGATGTTATGTTAGCGTTTTAAAAGAACGTTACATTAATTTCTACAATACAGTGATTCAACTACTGAATATAACAGAGTATCACTATACTAGTGAAACAACACAGGCGAGATCATTTACTAAACATCAAAGACCAGGTTAGTTCAATTCAGTGCAGAAGTAACAACGAACATTTTTTTCCAGCCATTTCTCATTGTACTCAAAGAACTGATCACGAACGAAAACGTATGGATTACCTATCTACTTAAGACTAATATCAAGGTACTTATTACATGTCAATACCTAGTCTAGTCATCCTAACATGTGACTTTACACATATTAATGTCATACGCACATATGTGGGTACCTCTATGTATAAGTAATGTCTTACGTCAGCGGTTTACGTAATGGACTATGTTTTCTAGCCGTCTTTTATTTATTTACTTGTTTTTACCATTATAGGATGTTAGGTTCTTCCGTTGTGGTTTCGTAATAAACTTACGATAGAACTAAACAAGAAATGGCTATAAAAAGTGAAATAGATGTAGGAATTTTTTAAGTGTGGGAGAGCCATGCTTCGGCACGAATGGGTCGGCTGCACGGGAGTGATACCACGGCCTCGCAGAAAACCGACGTGAAACAACGCTTGCGTTGTGTTTCGTCGTGTGAGTGAGATTACCGAAGGCCCAATTCCCCTCCCCCTCTTCCCTTGTCTCCCGAATCCCTGAACCCGCCACAATCCTCAAATTACCAATTCCCAAAAGGCCGGTAACGCACTTGTAACGCCTTGGTGTTCCAGGTGTCCATGGGCGGCGCCGATTGCTTACCATCAGGTGATCCGTCTGCTCGTTTACCATATTATGCTATAAAAAAAGGAAACTTGGCTGGTTTTTACATATCGGGTAAATAATTTATATCATAATTGTATATAAAATATGTTTTACTATTACCCTAGTGTAGATTAATAATACATCATAAATTCAGAATAAAAAATGGGCTTAATTATACTACAGGCTGAAGGGGCTACAACTTTAGCTGGATGCATTAAATATAAAGTTATTATGTAAAATTTAAAGAATGGGCAACCCGACCTACTGGAACTCCTGCACTTTGATTAGTATAAATAAAAAAAAATCCACACAGAAATATTGCAATATACGAAAAGGTTAAAATTTTTCCTTTGTTAGTCATAATGCAAAAATACCCAACACTGTAGTTGCACCGCGACATAACATGCGACGCAAGACGCAATTAATAAAATTGAATTTAATCTTCTGCGTTTTAATGTTTCAACTGAGAATTAATAAAATTGTTATTACGATGTTATGACAAGCTGTAAAACTTTGTTTTAATTTCATTTTACTTTGATCCTTTCATTTAATGTTATATTTACATAACGTAATTCTATCTGTATTATTAGTACTGAACTACTGAGACATTACAAACGTCCAATAATATGTATGTGTCAGAAATGCTGCTGATGAATATGCTCTCTAATAAACCTGAATCTTACGAGCTGCGGTATCCAGGCTGTCGATGACGGTGATGGCCTTATTCTATAAGGCCATCACCTTATTGAATAAGCTAAGCACCTAAGCTATATCAAGTTCAAATCAAACTCTACTTTACCTACATTAATATAAACTTTATTTTACTTCGTACATACCTTGTTACTTGTTACTCACCCAATCTATTACCAATACATTGTTAACTAACAATACAGACCTTCAAGGCGACTGTAGACTCCATCAATATTTACTCAGATGATATAACAATGATCTTAATATAGTAGATGTATACATACATTATATATATAACGCCTTCATAAATAATATAACCTCCATTTTAAACCTTCAGAATGTGTATGACGTAAGCCTACTAATTCATGAATGACTAAGGCGTACTGTCCACGTTGCGTCAATTGACGCATGCATGCATTCGTCAAAAACGATAGGCGAATTAAACTATCGGTTTGTCGACAGTTTTCATTGGTTCTAAGCAAGACTTTTTTTATACTTCTAGACAAAATACATATGCTAAATTGTGAAATCCTTAAACAGATTTAATCTTAAATGAAACCTTATACTTTTTGTAATACAGTTCAATATCTATTAATTTATTATACCTGAATAAACAACATTCTTCTAACTATATTAAACCTCTATCGAAACTTCGAGCCCTAGTCGCAATGCTCTCCGAACGTTCTAGAAAGTTCTAGGGATTAAAATAATTCGCAGGAATGTTTTATAAGCGGTGCTCGCACTCAGGTTCACTGCAGTCGATTCTTTCATATCGTTGTGTGATCATAGCTTATATCTTGCATAAGAATTTGTAGGTACCTTAGCAGCACTGTGTATAGTTTAGTGATGTACTCTAATAGGGTAGATGACTTATTTTAATGTCCGTCTGGTAGATTACTTAAAATCATTAGACACGTATTTTTTATTTTCTTAAGGACACAGATTCTTTCGACGATATATTGATTTAAAATATCGCGTGACGTCACTTTTGTGTACGTTCTATACTCAAAAGTGACGTATGTAGTTAGCTCCCACTCCTAAACTTTGATTCGTCTTATCTAAGTATTGTTTTCTTATACGACAAAATAAAAAAATACGTGTCTTATATTTTTCTTATGACTAATTACATTTTTCATTATCATACCCCGTCATCATCCCTATTGTGAGATTTCGGAATGAAAACGTGAGTATTATTTAATAATAACACGCACTAGTATTTCCTCCTGTGTCGTGGATCGATTTGTAGTTAAATTCAAGAAATATAACCCACCACAAGTTACGCAGCAGCCGGTCACTCAACTACTGCGCCAACGCAACGGTCGTACATGTTTCCTGAAGTATTGTTTTATGTTTGAAAATTACATAATTACACATGTGTACAAACAATTATTTGTTTATATACATAAATTACGAAGTAAATAATACAATATCTTTATATCAGATGGCACGTAAGTGCCTTATCAAAACACTTTAGATATAAAAATTTATTTGATCTAAAAACATATTCATAATAAATACTAACTACGTAATACGAATCTGATATAATTTTATCTTTTTTATAGGAATTAGTATTATCTCTATATCTTCATATT